AGGCAAAGAAGAAGCAGAGTTTTGCTCGCCATGATTCTAGCATCAGCCATGTTGATGGTGGACAGGAAAGTTTCTCTATGGTGGTTAAATAAGAGCAGTTACGTTTTGGAGGCATCAAAATTTACAAGCCATTCCTTGCCCCAGTTAACAACTGATTAGAGGTCCTTTTCGAGATTAGGAAAAATATTACAATTTAATTACAAATTAAACAGAGTATATATATATATATATATATATATATATAGAACTTACTCAACCTATACAGTGAGATGATTCTGAGAGTATTTGAAGTTCTAGCAGGAACGTGAAGGAAAGTGATAAGAAAGTAGTAAACTTCAATTACTACTAAGGGTGCGCTATAGAGACCAATTAAAAAAAAATAATTGGGGAGTGTTTTATTCCACTCATTTATGTCCAAATAAAAGGAAATGGGCCAAGTTTTTGAAAATTGGAATGGAGGCGAATCGAAACGTACCCAGACCTACCCGGCCCCACTCAAAATTACTAAAACGTATTCCAAATAACATCAATATTCACCATCAAATCTTGGCAGCAGCAACCCTCCTATCACAGCACGTACCCCTACATCTTCATTACATGAACCACACTTGTGAAGTGTTTGACACAGGGAGCCTGTTCAGAATCATGTAGAGTAAATTTGAGCTAAAGGAAAAATAATCAAAACAATGACATCTTAGAAATCTTTCCTAGCTAAAAGTTTAATCCCTGCTGTAATTGCTGCATTTTTTAAATTTGTATTGAATGATGGTCATAAAACATTAATCCATGAGGAATTTGATGATGTATTGAATACAGCTGGTAAAAAAGAAAAAGGTTGCATTATATAAAGAGAGACGTTTTGGTTTCCTTGGATATAATGATGCTGCCTTGCTTCACCATTTTGATGATCTAATGAATAATGTTTAAGATACGCCATCAAATAATCAACAGGTACAGGCATGTGAATTGTACCTTGAACTGCAATATATTGAATGCGCTTTAAGATATGTCGTATGGGTTTACTTCCAAAATCACGATCCCATTTTTAAACATGTGTGAGTTGAGGTCACTAAAAACCCTCTTGACCATTCTTCCTATTCTATATAATGACCTGAAAGTTTCAAATAAGGACACTTTGCAAAAGTATACAGTTGATTATCCATTTGATGTGAAGCAACCAACATCAAAATTAGATATATATATCTTGGGCCGTTTCTGAAAAGTTCAGTTTCAGCATTGAAAATGAAAAGCCACGATGTTCTGATCTGACTAAAGTTGATCCCGAAGTTCAGTCAAAGCTCCCTTCACACAACAACCTCTCTGAGAGAGATCTTTCACATATGGACAAAGTACCAATTCGGGCAATATCTTGTTTACTGCAAAAGGCATAAAGGGTGACATGACGTTATACCATGCCTCAGTAATTACCATTGACAAAGAAACTAAGAAAATAGCAAAACTGTTGGATGAAGAAGGAAGAAAGAAAATAGTTCAGTAGTTATGACGAAATCATCAAGGCCAAACTTGGCGAAAGGAAAGAAAAAATCTATTCGACAGGATGAGTGACAGGATGCTATTCTAAGGCAAAGCTCACCATTCATATCAGTAGAAGAAATTGAAGATTGGTTCGGTTTGTTATGTTTTACAGCATATCAACCTCAATGGGTTATTTAATGGCGACAACTTTTTTTTTCCTGGTAATATTTTGTTTTGTCAAAAATCTATTTCTAGTAATATTTTTTCCTCAAAAATGTATAGCTGGTAATATTATTTTAAAACATGTATTGCTGGTAATATTTTTTTTTGAAAAAGTATTGCTAGTAATATTTATTTTTCAAAAATATATTGCTGGTAATAGTTTTTTTTTCTTCAAAAATTTATTTCTGGTAATAATATTTTCGCGAAGTATTTCTGTTATTAAATCTTATTTTTACGCTTTTATTATGCTTTTTACATTAGTTTCGGGGTTAACTATTTGCCCTTAGCTGGGACTCTAACAGGTGCTTCAGGGTGGTCCAGGGAACACCAACAATTAAGAGGTGATTCCACACTCCTCAAAACCTCCTGATCAGAGGCCTTGCTGCTGGACGTAGTTTATCGTCTTACCCAGGACGCGGATGTAGTTTATCGTCATACCCAGGACGGAAGAAATTGAAGAAGGTACGAAAGCAGTTAAAGACGAGCAGAAAAGAAAGATGTTGAGGAATTAAATACTTCTCCGAAAAAGTATGAGTAGAGAAGATTACAGAGAATACCCTGATTTGTATAACATGACAACGGCGCAAATGAAGGTAAACTTGCGGATTCTATTGTCGGTTAAACAAGAAATTGATTCTGTTTCTAGTGCCACATTCCCAGGTGTAGAGACCATATTCAATGAACTAAATGGATCTCAGGAAAATGTTGATGAATCTGCTCAACCCATTGAAGAAGACGAAATTGCTATGAAGGAACAATGCGTGGCTACAATGATTATGGAAGAGACTGGTGTGTCTCTGATAAAGAATTGGCACAGATGAATACCTGATTGACTATCTTGAATGCATGCCAAAAGACAAGATGAAGAAATTGTGGCGATACCCAACCATCAACAGAAGACGCTAAAGATTCAAATTCTTCCGTACAACGTGATTGGATCATGGAACTTGATAAAAAGAACACCAGTATTTATTTTGCATAACAATGATGTTATCAATGAGTTATTTAAATCATTATATTGTTAATGAGTTGATAAGTTTGTGCTTCATATTGGGATTTATTTAAAAATTTGGAGCGTTTTATCCCTTTTTAACCACAGCTAAACAGTTTCATAGGATTAAGTTCTATCATTGGACATTATATCATTTATTTTATGAACTTTCGGCAATTCAAACAAATTTTAGCAAGTTTTGACCGAATTCCTCCATTTTCGAGCTTTTTCGAAGGAGTTATGACATATGTAAGATTTAATACGTAACATTTAATTATCTTAAGATATATCAGTAGAATACCTGCCCATACCTGCCCGATAGCATATCTCGATATAATGTCATGTTGAAGTATTCGGTGATTTCAATTCAAAATAGTTAATTTTGTCCCTGTTTTTTTTCCTGAAATTTGATCTATTTCAGCTCCAAAATACACTCTTTCTTTTGAAAATTAATGTGTAAACTCAATACTGTATACGTAGAACCATGAATTTCATCATTTGAATCATTGTGGTGAAGATTTGTTGGTGAATATTGATTTTATTTGGAATACGCTGCCATTTTTAATGATTTTTGGGGCAGGTCTGGGCACATTTCGGTCTGGCTCCAATTTCAAAAAATTGATCCATTTCCTTCTATTTGGACAGAAATGAGGGGAATAAAACATTTGGTCTCTATAGCTCACCCCTATTAATACAAGACAAAATACATAGCTGTTAGTAAAAAGAACAACTCAACATCAAAATTACAAATTAGAGCTACTAAAATCAAACAAGTACAACAATATATATATATATATATATATATATATATATATATATATATATATATGAGAAGTGTTAACAGATAGCGTGGAGTGTGACACAGAGATCCGAAGTCACAATGGGGGGTAGTGAAATATACCTTCAAAAAAAGTTAAGTCAAGAAACAGAAACATTTCATTATAAACAAAGAAAAGTGTACTGAACTGTTATTTAATATAAGTCATCCTATATAGCAGTGAATGCTGGGCAATCTAGTCACAGAAGAAGAAGGGATTTGAAGCCTCAGAAATGTGGTTGTACAGAAGGATGCTGAGAATACAGTGGACCAAACATGTGAGCAAAAAGCAATGAAAACAAGGAAATGACAGTTGAAACGTCTAAGGCACATAATAAAGAAAGACGGCTTGGAAAATTTGATACTCACAGGACATATTGAATGCAAGAGGGACAGTAAAAAAACTGCATAACCTACCATCGAGATTTAGTAAAATGGATGGAGGAGCATGGTTTGGGAGCTATAGCCAAAAGAGTAATTTTACTAAGAGCTACAAATTACAAGAAGTTGTGGAGAACCATGAACGCCAGCTACCCGAAGGAACACGGCCTATAGAAAGAAAATGCTATTTTTTTCATATATTATACATGAAAAAGCAATCCAAATTAATTTCTTCGTAGATTGTTTAGACATTTAGATATTTATCAAACCTTAACCTCCCAAATATGCACGTTAAAGTAACGCAAATTAACAGCGTCTAAGAATTTGAATGAAACCTGTCGTGTAATTGATTGGGGTTGTTGTAGCTTCTTCCTTTAATGTCGGTCTTATATCTAGAGACGAGACGCGTTAAATTTGAGCAACATCTAGCCGACACACTGGTGTTAAAAATAGGAAATTGAAATGACACACTCATATCCTCTCTCCCACCTCCGTTAATTTTACGTATACTTGATGAGGTCCGTAAAAAATGTGTGAATTTCTTTTCATTTTTCATTTCAGCTTTTGGAAGTAAAGTCTGATGATCCAGAACCCTGTTAAAGGGGTTATGGTGAAATAGCTTATTACATGGAATCTTAACGTGGTCTGTTTTTTATTCAAACATATCTGCTCTGAATTTTACATTGAGCTCTCTGGATATCATTCTCCTCAGGTCTACCCATACGGATTACCTAAGTTTGCATAATATATATATATATATATATATATATATATATATATATAGAGAGAGAGAGAGAGAGAGAAAAAGACAAAAGAAAAAGAGACAAAAAAAGACAAAAACAGACATACAGAAACAAACAGATATGAACAGATATGAACAGATAGATAGATAGATAGATAGATATGAACAGACTTGAAAAAATAGATACATCCATACATACATACATACGGAAATAGGTGGATTACAAGTTTACTGACAGACATCTTGACTGAATTATTTAAATAACTTCCAACTGGCCAAATAAATCTTTTGAAGAACTCACGCATAAATTCAATTGGACGTATTTGGAAAGTATTTAAGGTAAACGCGTAATTTGTACTTTGTTTAAATTAATGTTTACAGTAATTTTGCTACGGAGAACTCTCTCACCCTTCATTTCTCTCTATCTATATATCTATCTATCTTTGCGTGCGTATGTGTGTGTGTACTCTTAAGAAAGAAGTGTGTGAATCTCTTCGCATCATTTACCTCTCTACACACCCGCATACGCGAAATCTCGCTCACACGTAAGCGCAAATCAAACTAAAGGTAGGATATATTTTCACCAAACGCCGTGCCCCTCCCACTTTCGAGTTAAAAAAAAAAGAAGTGTTTCTGCTCAATTTAGCCCCGATAGGAAAGATGAGAAGGAGAAACGCTGTTAAAAATCGCGCAAGTCACAACGAGACGATCCAGTGGAAATGTAATGAGACCGTCTGTTTCACCAAAGGCCGCTTGCTTTCAGCGCCATCTCTCTTTTTTTTATCTGGTTCGCTTTTCTTTTTTGTTTCGTTATTTTATATCTTTGGGTGGGTGCTTTCTTTCCTATAGGATTTCCCTTCTCTTGTGTTTTTTTTTAATACTATTGTTCGCCTAATAACAAGGCTCGAGATTATCTCCAGGTAGAGCATTGCTAAAAAATAATAGCTATAATGGAATAAAAGTAAGAACTACACATTCTGATGATATGTAGGATAGATAGAATTTGACACTAGACGTTCGGGCCGATCGGAGAATTAACATTCCGGGAGACTGTTCTACAAAGTGACTTTTCTGGGGAAGAATCTGGCTAAGTGGATCTTCCTCCTTAGTAATGGAATCTGAAGGGAAATCGAATGAGTCGAATGTCTACTAAGATTATTGTCTAGTTCTTTAAAAAAATACGTTTTTTTTCGGTATTTTCTAAGCTCAAATCCAAACGACAAGAGGCTAAATGGTAAACATCCTGAAGGGACACGGCATATAAAAGAAGATACAGTGTGGCCCAAACGCCACGGTGCATTTGAAAAGATGGCTTACAGGTGGATGGGTGCGGCAGGAGAAGGACACTTGTTTAACATCATCTTCCGTCATTAGATCCGTGAAATTTCTTACCCATAAATTGTCGTATGCGGAAACATTCTTTTATGCATGAAATAGATAAAATCGACACGTTTTTTTTTTGTGTGTGTGTGTTTTTTTTAATAGTAGTGTGACTTTTTGGACATCTATAGCTTTGCCTGATGATTTGACTAGCTTTCACATCTTCCTTTCTTCAAATTCTCTCTGCAGAGACAATTTGCAGCCAAAGATACGATGATCTATGACACTCAGCGGTAGGCACCACTCAATATATCCCCGACAACTCTCTGGCATACTATGAGGTGACTGTACATAAACGAGTGATTCCAAACATTTTCTTGGCCTTGCCCCGCCTAATCATCTCTAAAATCCCGATGCCACCCGTGTTACATATATTTCTTATTATTCAAAAGTTGAACACTTATTCACATGGAGGAAGCCTAAAAGGCCATTAACTTAAGAAATTGAGACTGCATATATATGTATTATCATTTTAGAATTTTACAATTGTGCTACTAATATATATATATATATATATATATATATATATATATATATATATATATATATATAATAAATTAACTGATTTAAAATATGTTTTTTCACTACACAGTAATAACCATGTTTCAAAAATGGAAGCTAAAACTTTAAATTTTAATTTTGTAATTAAATTAAAACATTAGTTCCATTTCATCTTTAATCGAATTTTAGAGTAATTTATTTTTAACTGCAAGGGAAAGTCGTAATTTACGGTTATCAAAGATACAGAGAAATCCAATCATCCAGATAAAAATAAAAATAAAAATGAACACGCTACCACCCCCTTGTCTGGATGACTGGATTTCTCTGTTTCCTTGGTAACTGTAAATTATGAATTTCCCTTGCAGTTAAAACTCAGTAAATTTAAAAAATAAAGGACTCCAAAATTTCAAAAGTTTTTAGCTTCCCTTTTTGAAACATGGTTATTACTGTGTAGCGAAAAAAACATATTTTTAATCAGTTAATTTATAATATTAATGCTCTGTAAATTTACATTGAGCACTATTTTAAAAAAAATAAAGATATCAATAAAAACAACGAATTACATATCTTATTGTCCTTTTTTATTTATCTAAATATATATATATATATATATATATATATATATATATATATATATATATAATGTTATTCACATACAGGCCTGTTTCGCTGTATCACAGCTCATCAGCGTGATTAGACATCCGATTGCTACTAAAACTCGACCGATTTGTCATCAGTCGCTTATTCTACCCCTGAGTTATCAGCGCACGGCAAACGGAAATGGAGATTCTAGCGTATTATTTTTACGAAAGTAAACAAACGCCACCCAGCCATAGTGCTCAATTCATTTTAATGAAGAGCATTGCCTTAGCGGAGACGGCTGCTGTTTAGAATTACCCTCTCTCTCAACAGTGCTCAACCGAAATTATCGATAGCAATAAATAATAAATATTTATTATGATCGTTAAAAAATATGCTTTTCATCTAATTGAGTGAGACGTTTTAGAACCCGATCAATTTGATATGAGTCAGAGATTCTAGGCTATCGTCAGAGAGCAGAGGGGAAGGGAAATTTCAACGTTTTCTATGCGAAATACGTATATATTCACATTTCTCCCTACATTTGTCTTTAATTGGAAAAGAACTATAACAAAGGGGAAAAAGTTTTCGTGTGACGCGTTTCGACCTTTAGGACTTCGTCAGACTAAGTTTATGTTTCCATAGTTATTTCCCCATAAACTGTTTTTGATATATAAATACACATGCACACACACACACACACACACTCTCTCTCTCTCTCTCTCACACACACACACACACACACACACACACATATATATATATATATATATATATTATAAATTAATTGATTTAAAATATGGTTATTTTCGCTACACAGTTCCAACCATGTTTCAAAAATAGAAGCTAAAAACTCCTAATTTTATTTTTGCAATTAAATTAAAAGCATTAGTTCCATTTCATCTTCAAGCGAATTTTGGAGTAACTTTTTAAAAATTACCGGGTTTTAAAGACACAGCTAAAATCACGTTTCCATGGTTACAGAATATTCTACTCAAATTGAACAAGGGGTGTCTAGATTTTCCTTATGACAGTATCATTGTATCAGTTATTAGCTACAATTTGGTAAGGGGTAGGGATGTATTTTACACTGAAACCTGACATCAGTTGAATGGATGTCGTCTGAATTTTTTTTTAAAAAAATTTCAACGTCATTTTTTAAAATTAAACATTTTTTTCTAATACTTTTTATTTAACTACGATTTGAAATATTTTCCATTTTAATTTTTATTTTACTATATTCTTTTTAAGAACAGTTAAATGTATTAGAATCCATTATATTATGTAGGATTATTTTAACATTAAGTTTAAGTATGTATATGAGGTTACATTTTTTTTTTTTTTTTTTTTTTTGTAAATGACTATGACAGCAGATATGGTTACTTAATTTCACTGATTCAGTAAACTTTTCTTTTATATATAAACCTATTATTATAATATTTAACATATTTAATTGCAAAAATAAAATTAGAAGTTTTTAGCTTCTATTTTTGAAACATGGTTGGAACTGTGTAGCGAAAATAACCATATTTTAAATCAATTAATTTATAATATTAATGCTCTGTAAATTTACATTGAGCACTATATTGTAAAAATAAAATATCTATAAGAACACCGGATTTTATATCTTACTGTTCTTTTTTTTTTTATTTATATATATATATATATATATATATATATATATATATATATATATATATATATATATATATATATATTAAACAGCACATACATAATTACACATGTACATGCATAAATATTTTTATGTATACATACTGTATATTCACCGTACTTATTAACGCACACGTACACTAATATTCATACAGACACACTAGAAAAAAATCACTGCTAACTCATTCCCGTATTGCTCTCTTTGAAAATAAAAGAATAAAAAAAATCCCACGCTGGAAATCACGGGCTTAGACCAAGAATGCATCCAGGTTATCTTTAAGCCGACATTCTACTGGAAGATATTGTTGTCTGTCACTAGTCTGTCTCAATTTCAATGGCGTATATTCATATGAGTTCTATTTTTTTAAACTCCATCTGTTCAGACGACTACATGTTACTTCCACCCAAAAAAACTAAAGAGAAGGAAACAGTTATTAATCAACAAGACAGCACTCAATGAAGATCGATTTATTTTCACATTTCTTCCTGGCCGTTTAGAAAATGGTCCATCATGGCTCTCCGCAACGTTCTTTTCAATATTCCTTGATGAATTCTCTATGTCTTCGTTATTCAATCCACTTAAATGTTCTCACGCATTTACGGAAACCTGTTAATTAGTTTACTCTCGTCTTTCCCATGCTCTTGTCTTGGATAAATCCTGTACATGTTAAATATTCTTTCCTCTTAAAGATTCACTCTTTTCTTTCCTGATTTTAATGCCATTTTTTAAAAAGTTCCTCTTCCACCGCTGCTCTACATACAAATCCAGTAAGTGCCAACTGCTTGCAATACAGTTGCCAGTATCATCTTTGCCAAGTACTCCTTTTTAGGTTACTGAATCTTTGTCTCCAGTGGCATCGAAATTACTAACGTGGATGTATTTTTTTTTTGTCATCTGCAGAGAAACTCTGCAGAAGATTATGCTGAACTTTTTTTCCGTAGGCTCTGCTTCAAGAGTTGGAGAATAGACGCTGAAGCGTACAGTATGCTGATTGTTACAAAGTGGGTGATGCAAAAAGATGACGCAGCCAGAGCCTACAAATGGCAAAAGAATTATCATAATAAAATTATCATGTGACAAATTTGAGGCGTTTTGCCGACACGTGACTTTCTCTGTATTTTCAACAGTGTGCGGAGGAGTTGACTAAAAACTATTATGTTTTGAAAACAGCTAAACATACAACTATAAACGCTGACTACGGCCTTATTTATGTAAAGGGTATTACTATGCAGTTGTTGGGTGTTACGCAAAATAGGCCAAGATGAGTTGAATGTTTTTATTTGCATTTTAAGAGGATGCGTGGATGTTGCAATTGATAGCGGCGATGTATGCGAAATCGGTGAACCGAGTTCGAATTCCAGTCGAGTTCGTTATATTCATTTAGGAGCACATACACTTGAGAAATATTTAAATGAGTTTCTTCTCCCACCGGCAGAATAGACCGGTTTCTCTAGCCTTGGTTGGCAATCAGTCTAGGAGAAGGACACTTCTGAATTCAAAACCGATAAAGATATCTTAAAGTTTGGAACGTGCTTAACAGTTGTGGTGTCTTCCCTCTAATGAGGCTATTGCGGACTCTTCCACTTACTATAAAGTAGTAGGAAAGTAAGCCTCGGGGGAGACGGTGATATCGACTGTTCTATCGAGGCTTGTGACTGTTCGCAGCTCCTGTCAAACTCTCTGCCAAAAGCAGAGAGTTTCCCGGACGAGGGGGTGTCGAAGGACATCGTTTCGTCCGGGGAGATAGACAGAACCGAAACGGTTTACCCGGGTTCTACGGAAATATTTTTGGCCGAGCCTACGGACTCGGAGAATCTACGGTAAACTCGGCCTTGTGCCACATACATTCTGGTGGGGAGGGAGGGGCTGTTAAATATTAACAGTGATATAGACTATTCTACAGGGGCTATGACTGTTCGCAGCTCCTGTCGAACTCTCTGCTTTGGAGTTTCGTCCGGGAAGGTAGACAGACCCGAACCCGTTTATACGGGGAATTTTTTGGCCGAGCCTACGGGCTCGAATGACCCACGTCAAAATCGGCCTTGTACAACATATAACGCTTGGGGGGGCTGTTAAATATAACAGTGATATAGACTGAACTCTGGTCAACCGACACACACTCCCAAGTCGTGTAACACGCTTCTATTTACTGTTCAATGCACGAATTATCTGCAACCGCTTTGCACATCTCGAGGTGGTGTAATGGTTAGCAGACTTGTCTCGATAGAACAATTACGACTGAGTTGTGATTTCGATTCTCACTGGGTCCCCACCCCGATTTCGGCCCTGTACCGCATCTAAGCTATTCTTGGAAAATCACTTCACCTGCAACCTTTTCTTTTGTTATTCCTTAACCAATTACTTGGTCACAACATTAACCAAAATTCAATCCATTGAATAAGAATTACATAATCCGTGTAATCCGTTGTGCAACCAACGTAAGCTACCATTGAGACTGTTCCTTTTTTTCAGGTTGTGAGCGTAGCGTAGGTTTTACCGGTGCGGACCTTAAGATTGGCGTGGTGAGTTCAAACACCAGTCGAGACCGTTGCGTTCTCTTTCACAGAAGTAACCCTTGAAAGGTATGAATACCTAATTAATAGCATGACAGACTGAACCCTCAAGGTTTGGTTGGCAACCAATCCAGGAGAATGAAAACTCTGACTTCAAAACCAGTCGCGAATGAGACTAGAAATTCCATACCCTTAAAACATACTTGCAACGAAAACTAAGTAATAACACCTATTATAGTGAGGCTGTGGTGGCGAGGCTGTGGCTCGATTCCAGTGAAGTCTACAGGATTAATATTACGTCTAAGCCTGAATATGCCCGACTCAGTAATAAGAACATGTCTTTATGATAGGACACAATACACTGATGGTTATGTAATAAGATCAAATTAATCATCTTATCGATAATGACATTAGGTCATTAGGATGAATGCCACAAGGTCAATGCAAGCGCCCCACCCGCAAAGTTCTTTCCTCTGTCCTTCACTCTTTCTGCTTTTTAATAAGCATCTGTCTCAGATCATTAGTAAATTTCTATGCCGATGATACCACAATTTATGGAAGCACTTTGGAAATTCAAGATGATCTAAGCATTTGCGCTGATCTTTTTGTCTGACTAAGTTCTAACAACTCAGTGGTTTTGTAATGGTCATTACCTCCAAAACAAGTTAGTAACATTTCGTCTTCACCGATCAGACCCTGAGTTTAACACTCAATGAGGTTTAATCTATTTACGGAAAATTGTTAAATAGTTTACGCGCTATTTTCCCCTCCTCCTTCCTTGGATAAATGTTGTACATGTAAAATATTCCAAAGTTTCTTTCCTCTTGCAAGTTCAGCCTTTTCTTTCTGATTTTAAAGCCACTTCTTTCTTTCTGATATTAACGTCAGTCCTTCTTGACTTTAAAGCTTCATTTGACACAGAACAAACGTGTATTGAACCAGATATATTTGAACATCTATTGAAGTGGTTTGTCATCCTTCAAGAGATTGTTGTATGCCCAACGTAGATTAGTGATTTAAGAGAAGAAAAAACACAGTGGGAAATTAAATTGATATAGTACGTTAGCCTTTTTTTAGTTTAGTTGTTACTTGCATTTATACGGCAGGCAGTTTTTCATTTTCGATTTCTATATTACAAGTATAGCATATTTTATACGATTGCAGGGGTCAAAGGTTGAAATGTATTGTTTAATTAATGATGCGATACATGACGAATTCGTTTTGCTTATAATTGTTATGTATCTGGTTGCAAAAAGAGATATTGCTTTATTGCACTTTGGTTTGAACATCACATGAAAGTGTGAAATGAAGTCATCAATGTTAAATCCTATAATCAAAATGTCTATAAGTATAAACGCTCACTCTCTGATTTTGCACTGTTGAAATAGCCAGCTTGAAATTACGAAACCTTCACCACTATAATCAAATCTCATGTGCTGTTGTCGGGCTGTCGTTTTCCTAGGAACTGATCTGCTTGACCCTCATACGTCGAATTCGTCGGGAGAGATTATATATATATATATATATATATATATATATATATATATATATATATATATATATATATATATATATAATAAAAAAAGAAAGAACAGTAAGATATAAAATCCGGTGTTCTTATAGATATTTTATTTTTACAAAATAGTGCTCAATGTAAATTTACAGAGCATTAATATTATAAATTAATTGATTTAAAAATATGGTTATTTTCGCTACACAGTTCAACCATGTTTCAAAATGAAAGCTAAAAACCCTAATTTTATTTTTGCAAATAAAAAAAGAAATAGAATTTCATCTTTTAATTTATTTTTGGAGTTTACTCCAAAATTAGGTTTTTAGAACTAATGCTTTCTATTTTTGAAAAATGGTTGGAACTCTATTTTGAAACATATGAACGAAAATAACCATATTTTAAATCAATTAATTTATAATATATATATATATATATATTAACCTATCGTCCGGTTTACACACCTCCCCGTGTTTTGAACAGAGCAGAGATATATCCTTTGTTTCCGGCTTTGGATTGGGCTTCTGGTTCTTTCCAAAGTTTCACACGCTTTCATTCCCATTCTTAGTAATATTATCGCCTTGCTTGGGGTGAATTGATTATATATATATATATATATATATATATATATATATATATATATATATATATATTATTCGGAATATTGTCCTCATCTTTCTTGTCATATTTATAACAACGTTTTGGCCGTTGTACGCTCCGGCCTTCCTCAGGTGGTTGGAATATCGAACTGAACCCTTTATGGAGTCCGTAATATACATTCTACAAATCGCTTGGAATGTCGTCAGCAATGTTTTAAAATCAGGATCTTAGGGGGTTTCGGTTCATTCAACGTCAGACACGCTTCGCGCTTGACACAATCGCGGCTGAGTAGACCAGGATCCATCTTCCTATAATTGGATTCCGCCTTTACTAACTTGATTTGTAATGTGGTTCTGAAATATATATATATATATATATATATATATATATATATATATATATATGCGTGTGTCGTGTGGTCGATGTAAGTATCATAGTAATTATAACAGCTTTCTGGCACATTTCGCTTTGCTTTTCTTTGATCTTGTTCATGTCGTCGTTATTTCATATTCCATCTTTCATTTTAGTCGTTCCTTATCATTGATCTACTTCTTTTACGGATTTCACGACCTTCTTGTCACCTTGACAAATGTCAACGAAAAGATCCATCACCGAGAAAGACAGACATTAATTGGTCGATTTCTTTCATCTGTACATCGGTACATCAGTTTAGGAACGGTGAAAGAAAACAAAGGACACTGCAAATATGTTGACATTTAATTAGAAATCTTGGATGGAAAATTGTTGCAAGTGTTTTTCAGAAGTTTTATTATATATACATTTATATATATATATATATATATACTCTGTACTTATTCGGCAAATGTTCTTCAAGGCAAGTGTTATTAAAAGCATTTTGTACATTATTTACTTTATTCGGACTATTGTCCTCATCTTTGTCACCATATTTATCACAACGTTTCGGCCGTTGTACGCTCCGGCCTTATTCAGGTGGTTGGAATGTCGAACTGAACCCTTTATTTTGCTCACTGGGGTAGACTGTTCTAGTTCCACGTGTCATGTTTGATGGATGTCAGTTTTCAACACGTGGAACCAGAACAGTCTACCCAGTGAGCGAAATAAAGGGTTCAGTTCGAAATTCCAACCACCTGAAGAAGGCCGGAGCGTACAACGGCCGAAACGTTGTGATAAATATGGTGACAAAGATGCTCAATCTATCATACAATTCTTTTCTCCCACCTTTCCCGATCCCTTTTTACACCTCAGCAGCCGATATAAATTCTTGCTCTAAGAATATTTCAAAAGTATGTAATTTGGAAAATATTTTATTATGTTAATTAGATTCATAAAAGCTTAAAAACTGACTTTGGAAAGAGGTTAATTGAATTCTTTTCCTTTCTTTTTATGTGCCACGTTCTTTCAGGACGTAGGCGATCATAGCTCTGTTACAGTTTTTTGGATACATGTATGTACTAGTGAGCAAGTCAAAATGAGCTGACTCATTTTATAGTCCACCAAGAGAAGGGTTAACCAATCAGAAAGCTAAAAATATTCAATGCGACGTTTATAAAGGCAGCCATTTTGTTTTTTCTCCCAAACTATCCTCACTGCCAACCGGATATCGAAGACTTAAAGAATTACTTAACAGCCGCTACTTTCTCTGAATCTTCACTGCTAAACTCTGATATTGAACACATTACGGATTTCACTGGATTCCATATTCAGAATCTACAGCAAACATGGTCAACAAGCTCTCCTTCTCCCTCTATCTCTTGCAGTTCTCAACAAGTTCCTTCCCTCTGCCACCTCCCCCAGATCCACGTTCTGTCATCCGCTTGCTTAAAGCCGCTCGGTATGTCATGCTTTGTTTTCTCTTTTTTCTCTTTCCCTCTATTCGACCCGTGAGTATCAGATTCTCCAGGCCCTCCTTCCTCATTATGGATCCCAGGAACTTCATCTGCCTCTTCTTAGTTTGTATCTTCTCTAAGGCTTCATCGTTGCTCATACGCTCGTTCCATGATATCCTTAGTATCCTTCTGTAGAACCACATCTCCGTCGCCTCGTGTCTCTTCTTTATCGTTGAGGAAATCGTCCAACATTCGCTGCCGTAAAGAAAGGCAGATGTCACCTAACAGTTCAGTATTTTTTGTTCGTTATCAAAGAAATCCTCCTGTCTCGCAATACACTGCCCAGCTGTAGGAATACGTCCTTGTCTATCCCAATATGTTTATCTCAGTGTCATATTTACCTTTATTTAATATCCTGGCTTTTTCATGGTGGGATAATGCAAAGACCTCACTACAAAAATATTAAAGGGATATTTATTAAGTTTGATGTAGTACTATTCAAGATAAAATTGTCGTGAAATGGAAGATAAAGCCCGTGAAGTTTCCTGAAGTAAAGTAAGCCTACAAGTCTACCAGATACGAATTCGAAATCATGGCTCTTCGGTTCTAATGAGAAAGAGGTTAATCGAATTCAGGGTACCTTAATAATGTTAAATAGTCAGGTTTTCCTAAAAAATTAATTCTCTTCGCATCCAAATTTCTCGAGAAATCGCCTGTACGGTACGATAAGATAGAGTTTAATAAGGATTATGAGGGAAATTTTATCTTTTCTTTAAGACGATTCTCAGATATCAAAAGACTCCTTGTTTTTTGTTTGTTTGTTTGTTTGTTTGTTTTTTTTTTCTTTTTTTTTGTTTTCTTTTTTGTTTTTTTGTTTTTTGTTTTTTGTGGGGGGTTCTAAGTTAGAGTCAAATTATACACGAGTCTCGTCATGGCATTCGTAGGCCGAAACAAAGGACGACTTATAGATCGATTTACGTACGAATGGATACGGTATTTTTATCTGTTCTTAGTTTCTTTACGTGTTTAGGGTGTATTCTTTCCAGTTTGTCTCTTTCTTCAATGCAAAATTATTCACTTGGGTATAAACTAAATCGATCATCTGACAACAAGATGGAAAGGGTGCAAATCTCAGAGGGTGATCTCCAAAGCAGAACGACTCATCGGCCGTCAACACAAAGGAAATAAATTGAGTCCCAAGATTTATATATATATATACATATATATATATATATATATATTTGTGTGTGTGTGTGTGCGTGAGTGCGTGTATTTGGGTAGCAATCCTTGTTTTATTCAAGCTTTATTTATTAAAAACAACTGACAAGGTACTGCGGTTAATTTTTTTTATTTAATTTTTCTTGTGTTCTTATAATTTTCTACTTTTCTAAATATATTCATAAAAAACGACAGACAAAAAACTACAAAATCTAAGAACACTAGAAAAAATTAAATAAAAACTTAACTGCAGTCCCTTGACATTCATATATATATATATATATATATATATCTGACTATATATATATATATATATATATATATATATATATATATATATATATATATATATATACTCTCGTTTTATATATATATATATATATATATATATATATATATATATATATATATATATATGTTTATTTATATATATATATATATATATATATATATATATATATATATATGACTTATCTTATTTATAATCTATTTTTTAAATGGACACTCATATTTGAGCAGATGATCTATTTTAATTTACTTATTAAAGAGTATATTTATTTATTTCCATCTACCGACCTGAATATTCGAGAAATCTTGTGGGGAAAAATATACGCCTTTCAGCTGGATTCGAACCTGCGTCCCCTAGGAGAAACCGTCATTAGATCTGATGTTAGAAAAATATGCGCCTTGATGCGGATTCGAACTAGTTTCTTTTATTCGATTTTTTGGGGAAAATAAATATGGCCACTCAAAGCTGAGTTATTTGGCGACACCTATCTCATGTTAGTACGCATTTTTTTTTCTTGAAAGAAAAATAACAGTTTCGTTTTATATGCTGGATTAAATATTTTCGCTGAAATGTGGCGTAAGATCAAAGGGAATGCTAAATAATGATGGGAGGAATTAATATAAATAAAAGGTTTTGCTTTGTCAAAAAATAAATGCCGAAAATATTTACATCAGACCAATATCTGTAGTTTCCTTTCTGTTTACGGTTGTTTTAGTCTTTACGTCTGTTTAATCACAAACCAATGACCCTGCGTTCCAGTCGATCAATTTTAATACTATTAAACTGTTATCTATCTATCTTTTTCTCTCTCTACACACACACACACACACACATATATATATATATATATATATATATATATATATATATATATATATATATATATATATATATATAAGCGTGTTGATTTCTTTCTTTCCTTGTGTTAATCTTTTTATTTATCTAAGCGTGTTAATTTCTTTCCTTCTATCTAGCTAGCTAGCTAGCTAGCTATCTCAGCGTGTTAATTTCTTTATTTGTATCTATTTATCTATCACAGCATGTTAATTTCTTTCTTTCTACCTCAACGCGTTAATTTCTTTCTTTATTTCTATCTGTCTATCTATCTAGCTAGATAGGTAGAAAGATAGCTATCTAAAACTGTTAATGTCTATCCATCTATCCGCCATATCTTTTTCATAACTATTTTATTATAAGTTCTCCGTTCACATCTATCAATAGATTTGTATTCGTCTAGCTTTCTATAACTTCCTTTTTAATTCCTGTATTCATTCTGTCTCGTAGGTTATATATATTCAGTCAATTTCTAGCTATCTAGCGAGCTAAACCTGTTAATATCTATCTATCTATTACAGCCCATTAATATCTATCTATCTATCTATCTATCTATCTATCGCAGCCTGTTAATATCTATCTATTTCAACCTGTTAATATCTATCTATCTATCTATCTATCTATCTAGCTAGCTAGCTAGCTAGCTATCTATCTATCTATCGCAGCCTGTTAATATCTATCTATTTCAACCTGTTAATATCTAGCTATCTATCTATCTATCTATCTATCTAGCTAGCTATCTATCTATCGCAGCCTGTTAATATCTATCTATTTCAACCTGTTAATATCTATCTATCTATCTAGCTAGCTAGCTAGCTATCTAGCTATCTATCTATCGCAGCCTGTTAATATCTATCTATTTCAACCTGTTAATATCTAGCTATCTATCTATCTAGCTATCTAGCTATCTATCTATCGCAGCCTGTTAATATCTATCTATTTCAACCTGTTAATATCTATCTATCTATCTATCTATCTATCTATCTATCTATCTATCTATCTATTGCAGCCTGTTAATATCTATCTATCTATCTATCTATCTATCTATCTATCTATCTATCTATTTCAACCTGTTAATATCTATCTATCTATCTATCTATCTATCTATCTATTGCAGCCTGTTAATATCTATCTATCTATCTATCTATCTATCTATCTATCTATCTATCTATCTATTGCAGCCTGTTAATATCTATCTATCTATCTATCTATCTATATATATATATATATATATATATATATATATATATATATATATATATTGCAGCCTGTTAATATCTATCTATCTATCTATATTGACATTTGGCAAGCTAATCATATTGTTTTCATTCCCAATTTTCTATATGGTTGCGAAGCCTGAATTCTATATTGACGCGACATCAAAAAATTAGAACACTTTCACCAGCAAAAGCTTTGATCAATCTTGAACATCAAATGGAATTGCTATTTGACCAACATCAAAGTTCTGGAAAGAGTTAACTGTCAAATATATACAGAACGCAAGCTCCACAGTGGATTCTCACTGACGACTGAGATTGAGAGGTATTTACACATGCATACGCAGTGTATCCCTTCTGATAGTTACACAAATGCTGCATGACCTGTTCTCTGATGACTACGTTTAACGTGAACAGAATTTTGGTTTGGATTGTCAAGGAATATGAAAAATAAACTAACCCTAACTCTTGTGTTTTCAACGTATGGTGCTGCTGCCTTGACAAGGGGCCTAAGCTTCATGGAACCTACACTTGGATGCTGAGAGTTATACTTAAGGTAATTTGGGGACAATTTCCAACTAAATCACAACTCTATGGACCGGTCTCTGATATGTCTACAATATTGTTATGGTCCGGTTCCTTGTACCACGGTGATAGTCCAAGGTAGAACCAATAAAGAAGAACTCGAACACAGGTATGGAATAACACAGATATATTACAAACAGGAATATATACAGAGAAGTAGAAGTGTTAGTACGAACAATCAGATTTAGTAGAGAGAACAATGTAGTCTCGACCAGTATCACTATTCCAATGTCTTGCAGTAATCGTCTGAACGCGACTCTGTTTCGGATTGCCTCTGACTCGACACTTGACTCGATTTGAACAGCTGACTCGACCTCTGAGGCGCAGTATTTATTATGGAACAGTCCATTATTATTATTATGGGTAAGATCACATAACAAATATAAAGCGAACGTACAATCCGCTTTGCAGAACACTGCTGGCGATCAAAATAAGAAATTGCGAATGACCTACTGTTCTGGACACCTAGCCATGGCGCAAGACGGGCTGGTCGCCCAACAAACACCTACGTTGACCAGTTATCTTAGGACATAGAATCCCACCCTAATGATCTTCCGGCCTTGGTGCAGGGCCGTGATGATTGGTGTGACAGACTCATGAATGTCAGAGCTATATAGCTCGACCCAATAATGAATGGATAAATAAATAAATAAATATCGTAATCTGGACTTCTTAATCGGTATTAATCCTTTAATCTTTAACCACCGTTTTATCAGTGGTAGAGGAAAACGACGTAATCCCCAGCCATCGGTTGCACAGTGTTTTGCTATTGTTTGTCTTATAAATAGAATAAATTCAAGCAGGAAAACCGAACTGTGGCTTACAAAGACTATCCTGTCAAGGCTGTGAAGTCTTCAGTCCGTTGGCCAACATACCAGGACTTCTTGTGCATCAAGAGAGGCAGCACCTGCTGAGTAGACTGGCGCAGAAAGAAAAAATTCTGGTGAGAAAAAGAAGGTATGCAATCATACACTTTTCCCTGTTAAGTATAATGCTTATATATATATATATATATATATATATATATATATATATATATATATATATATATATATAATAAAAAGGCTTAAACACTAATATTCCATGGTCATAATTTATTCCATTGGAATCGTAAATACGATCCAATTCAATTCATTTTCTCTTACTTAAACCCCTTCCACTCACCTCTCCTAAAATTCTCTCTGTTAAGGTTTAATCTCCCTCCTCCTCATACTTACACTCTCTCTAAATTCTGTTTTTATTTCCGGAGTGGGTTTTTTTCTGTTTTCTTTTTGAATTTGTAGGTCTGATGAATTGGATCGTATTTACGATTCTAATGGAATAAATTATGACAATGGAATATTAGTGTTTAAGCCTTTTTATTATATCCTTACTCTGTCCTAGACATTGAGTTCTACCTGGATTCTATCCTCTTGGAATTTTTATTCCAAAAATATACATGTATGGGTATTTTTATATATTTTGCATATGTATGTATATTTACCACTAATATTATCTATCTATTTATCTATCTATCTATCTATCTATCTATATATATATATATATATATATATATATATATATATATATATATTTGTAACTATTTTATATCTACCGTGAAACATTACATACCAATTATTTCCGAATTTTGACTCAGGAACTCAGGCAGAAGGGTTAAAAGTCTTAATATTTGAAATTACGATTCCAATTATTTTTTTCATTTTTCAAAATTTCAAGAAATCACGTAGCATTTTTTATTTTAACTGACGTCGGGAGGGGGATAAATTTACAATGAATTTGCTTTGCATACTAGACCCCCTATTAAATTTTATATTTAATAAAAACGTTTCTTTTCCTTTTTTTTTTTTTTCTAGGCTTACGGTCAAATCATGTTGAAACACCAGTCTCCGTACGATGACCGGAGTTAAGCAATGTCGAACCTGATCATATGGGTTACCGTTTGAGAATACCAGCTGCTGCAACCTTGTATGTGCGGGTGGTGTAATGTTAACGGCTCGGAATTGTTAATCATAAAGCCGAGTTCCAATTCATATTGGATTCTTTATATTCACTTATGTGCAAATATCATTAAGAAAGGTATGAATCCACATCTGCTCCCCCACAAATATTAAGGCTTGTATAAGAGTTGTAACCTAGGGAAGTTTACTGAATAAAATAATCAAGTGAAGGTTGGTAATGAACGATAATACTTAGCACAAGAACAACGCGTATAAGATTCGCCAGCGGCGCGTAGAAGTAGTAGTCAACTGCTAAAAGTGAGACAAGTGAACTCCACAATGAATCTCCAACTTCAGGATATCTACCAACCGCCCCACACGGTCAGATGTGGCACAAGGCCGAATTTAATGCGGGGTATCCGAGCCCGTAGGCTCGGCTAAAAATTCCTCGTAGACCACGTATAAAACGGGGTCGGGTAGCTGCTTCCCGAGACGAGACTCAGCCCTTCGACATAGCCTTGTCTGGGGGTCCTCTCTTCCCAGAGGCAGAGATTTGACCAGCACAGCTGGAGACGAATCCATCTGCAGACCAACATACAGTATTTACTATTGTATTTATGTGAATGAGGACATACTCATTATCGTCCGTAGGTATGCTACAACAATAACTAAATTATTATTCTAAAAAATATTCTCATAATCTAAAAATATTTTCTGGCTTTAAATAACCTGCAATGGTGTAATAAGCCGTATTAAATGAATCAGGCAATCATTTTTCTTTTCGTATACGCGGTTCGAAATTCTGAATCTAGAGTTAAGAAAATATTAAAAAAAAGTTTATTTCTGATCGAAGAGCTTGTCGTAATACTCCACCGTCACATATTATAAAGAAAGATATTTTTTTTCTTTTTATACTAAAGCGAATACATGCCTCAAGAGTCACTCAGGGTAGAGGTATACTTAGTGATATGAACGAAATTATCAGAAATGAAGATTTTGAGAATAAGGGGGATAGAAAGTGACTAGTCCCTGACTTGAAGAAGTTAAGATTGTCATCTTCAGGGAAGCATTCGCGTAGGAGTTTGCTCCACAATGTAGCAGTTCTTGGGAAAATGCCACCTGAGTGAAAATTTCTTCTTACAAAAGGAATAGTGAGGAAACGTCGGTGAATCGATTCTGTGGATGTAGCACGGTGAGTTCTGGCTATAAAGGTCTAAACTTGTGGCACCGTGGAGATCAATGGTCGCCGATGTCCAAAAACTACATGGCTTTTTAAAAAAATCGAAAAGTATCAAAAAGTTTTAAAACAATAGGCAATACATTTCTATAATAAAATAATTAGCAATTTATTAATCTAATAAAATTATTTATAAAATATCACTATAGTAAAACCATTAATAATGAATTCTTAATATAATTTTCGTCTATTTTTCAATAAATCAGTCAGTTAATGAATGGTAGAGCAGGGTTAAAGGAAGGGTGGTAAAAAGTCAAAAGTTGCTTAGTGCTACAAAGGACAGGAAGTTGTGGAGAGTCATGTTTGCACATGTCCAATGATCTTCATCTAAATTCAATCATATTTGGGGGGAAGTCAGTCAGTTATGTGCCATGCTTGATATACGCTTAGGCGATCATGTATCTTTCGATACATGACTGACGAGGTAGATTATTTTTTAACGCAGTAGGTTGCTATTTCTTTCGCCTGTAGACCAGTTGCCATCCAAGGCTATAGAACCCGATCTGTCCTGCTACTTGCTCATAGCTGGGGTGGGGGAAAAGAAGAGGATTCACACCTTTTCCAAGGGTATTAGCACGTAAGTGAATGTAATGGATTCGAGTGGAATTTGCACTCGGCTCTCCGATTCCTCAATCCAAGCCGCTATCCATTACACAACCATGTGACGTTTATTTCATGAAACCTACCTGTGTTAACACAAATTTAAAAAAATATTTTTTAATATCTATTGTAGATAAAGGTAGATAAAATAAAAAAAAATAATAAAGACTGTGTTGCGCCAATCTTCCAAGAAAATATGACTTTAGTGCGTGTCTTGAAAATGAAAAAATCCATCTCTATCTTTCCGCATCTGTTCGCACCAATCTATCATAGGTTTGTGGAAGACAGCAGCAAAGAAAGTACTTAGTCCCCGGGCGGTGGGTGTACAATATATGCCTCACTGCCAACAGGCAACCCGACACCCTAAGAAGCGGCGGGCCAGGCTACGGTGAACTTTAAGATTTACTGACCCCTACAGGTATTAATATCGCCGACTTCCTTCGAGGAGCAGGTTCCCGCTAGGAGCAGTGTTAGATTTAAATGTCAGACTTACATACGCCAACCAGTAAGATCATTTAAAATAACGCTCACAAAAAGATTGTTGTTAAAAAAAAAAACTACCCCTCTCCACAAAAATATACTTCAGATACTATGAGTTAATTTTTTTACCTGT